CATACCATAGTATTGTAATATGTATTTCTATTGTACGTTAACAAAAACGAAAATATTATCAATGCTGGATACTGGGTACTTTCTGAAAATCGCAAAATTTAATTCCCAGCAAGAAAAAGCAATCTGTCCTAATCGCAAAAATTAGTTCCCGCAACACACCAAACATCACCAATCTGCAAAAATAAACACCCGCAAAACTTTCGTGCCACACAGTACAGTTCATGCAAAAGTTTGGGGGGCGGGGGGAGGGTGGGAGGAGTAAACAATGTGCATTATGGGCTTTGCTGAAACTATAGATTGACCAATGTTTTCAAACAATAGAAGGCAATCATGATATGATGTCATGAAGAGGCTACAGGCACGAATATCTTTTATTTGTCGTAAGTAACAATAAGCCATTCACCACTTACAAACTACACACTTGACTTTATGCTCCCTTCATATTATATTATTATTTATTCTTATACTTTATTTTTAGAAAAACCGAAACTCAACAATGAAGCCTTTACACACTGGCAGTAATGATGATGACGACGATGCTGAGGCTGATGATGATGATAGTGGTGAATGCACACAGCTCATCAAGAGCATCAAAAGGCAGCTTACTTTCGCGTCCCTGAGTCTTTGCCCGCGCGACCTTTCTGGGACGGGTCCAGAGATCATCTCATATGCGCGATCGTTGTCACGTTTACCATGCCAAACCCTCAACCGTCTGCTTTGTCAACCTGGCGTCAACATCTCTCCTGCTTCCAACCTGTTCGAGTTTGATTTCTTGTCTGTTTCATCAGTCGATTCTCCAGTCTCTAGTTCAGCTTTGGCCGCTGACGATATTTCTGAGGTACAAAGCCTGCAGGATTCATCAATGAATTTCCATTGTTCAGGCGAGGGGAATTTCTTCATTGGTAGCAACAGTTTACTAAATTTGCGGCCGAGAACCCATGCACGTATATTTGACACTCCCTTGTGAGAATTTTCAACCTAAGGTAGGGTCATAACTCTCTTGGTACGGCTGTGCGCCTTCCGCCTTGAGAAGGTTGACTGTTCCTGAACAAAGTAGATAGCTATTTAATAATTGGAATTTGATTAATACTACAAAAGTGAAACCCAGCAAGTGCCTTGTATCAAACAACAACTGCACCTAAATGTATCAGTTTAAAGTTATCATATATTCCAAGTAGTTTGCGATGATGAGGATCATTTTAATCATGTAATACTTGGTGGAGAGAAAAATAAATGAATAAAACGTCAGTCTTTTTGGTTAAAAACTTATAAAAGAGAATAAATCAACAGGAAACTACTACTAAAACAACCTTGTTTCCAGGCTCTTTCGTTTTCCTTTTCACGGACCAACCCGAGCTGGGGAAGGGAAAGAAGAGAGTGGGCCCTGGGTACAAGGCTGATAAGAAAAGTGTCAGAAGTCCAAATTAGTTTCAACAATAAGCTGTGATATGATCCAACAAGCCTTCATGATCTCTCTGTTGCCTTTGTTGCTTTATAGAAGATCAAAAGTTTCTACACTTACCCCTAGTATAGGTGCGTACGTTTCGTGTTCAGGTGTGTACACACAGCACTTGAAGTCTTTCCAGTTTCTGTTATTTTTACCAAGTTTTAAAATATTCCTTGCAGACCTCGTCTAATTCGTCATCTCTCGCGTCCCGAGTAGCAACCATTGCGGCCTGTGGAAAGGCGTAATCGAGTCGTAACACGGAAGCCGCCAGATGATTTATGTTGCTCGCAATCAGTCATCCAGTTACCCAAACCTCCAACCATGGAATTATGTCTTGCAACAAGAAAAGGGCTAATATTACTTATTACAACAAAATATCCTCCGCTTTGCGCTTATTTTTTACCACTGATTTACCTTGGTTCGCCCCATGTTAGGTAATCCAAGGCAGTCTTGGATCCCAGGCTGTGGATTCTGGTTTCGAGGTACTGCCAGATTCTGATTCCTTGTCAGTGGAACTTGGATCCCGGATTTCTTGATTTGGATTACGGACTCTAAAGCCGAGGGTTCCGGATTTCACGAACAAAATGTTTCCCGGATTCCGGAATCTGGATGACCTTAGAGGGCCTGACTTTGTATCTGCAGTATCTCTACTTTGAGAAAAAGCAGCAACATAACAGACTTTCTGTATTTTCACAAGAAACTGACATGAAGAAATTACCGTCTTATATTTTACAACGCTGTCACTAACTGACTTCAGTTAGTGGGCGGTTAGATGGTATATTTTTAGATTAATGCTCTTCGACGGCGAAAAAGTGCTCGGCTTCTTTGAGATTCAATTTGTGGGTTCGCCTTGGTCCCCTCCCCTAACGGGCCTCTCTATGATCGGTACTATTGCTACAAAGTCTTCTTCGATCATTTTAACCCCTGTCCCCCCTATTCAATGTTGCAATATAGAACTATTACCTGCTCAAATATTCACGGTTTTATTCAACATTGGGCCAGTGGCGAGGGGACCAAGAAAAAAGAGGTATAAAAAGTAGCAGCCTTCCCAACACTATTGACGATTACTGTGCGCCCTTGTATACGTTAAACTACCTCGTAACACACATATGACAGCAGCTATCATTAAGAGACTGACAGGACTGGTTGCCAATGTATACTGTTAGTGTGACTGGTGTATCTAAGAGTACAAGCTTAATGAACGATTTACGAGTATAAAACAGCTTTAATTTCTAGGTCCGTGTTTGTAAGTATCTTGAAAAAATTTCAACCTCCCCCCGCCCCCCATCCCCGCTTATGAACTGGAAGTTATTCATGAAACGACCCTGTTCGGAGAGGCTTGATTGGCGGTATTATTTTGAACGATAAATTTTATGCATCCCCTCAGATAAGACTACGACCTGTTACTAAACGAAATAATTTCTTGATAACATAAGGGCCTTGGGGTGCCTTGGCCTATAACCTCGGAAAATGTCCCTATCCATTGGTGACTAGCGTCTTATGTGGTGCAGCTTATACCATCTACCATCTACTATCCAACGCGCACTCGTGGAATAATTGTCGAATATTTGCTTTTATAAATAGTCATTATAACACTACGATAAGGTTAGGTACGTCATGATCAACATCATCAGTATTAACATCATAATATTTAGTACTGTTGAATTTGGTAGGAGCCTTATAACCGAATTAATGGTATCTTGATTTGGTTAATGGAAAAAAAATGACTTGCGTGCATAACTAATATTGCATTCATGCAGGTGGCGACATTTAAATTAACATTTAACCCTTTACAAAACACGCCATTTCTGCATGGCAACATCACGAAAGACGGTATATTTGGAAATGATACTGTCTTTTACCTTTAACAACAGCAACTTTTTATTACTGTGTTTTTATGTATAAAAGGCAGCCACATCATGCCACTCAGTATAACCAACAAGTCTAAAATGCTGTTTACTAAGTATACTCTTTTAATATACGCTGTTCATCTGAATCTATCTGTCTGAGTCCATACAATTACTGTAAATGAAAAGCTTATTTAAGTGTGACCAGTGCCTTCTTTCGGTAACTAGGACCGAAACGAAAGAACAAACTTAGGAAGGCATAAAAAAGATGCTAAAAATCCGTTTAAACTATTCGAACATTCTTAATAAAGACCACCTGAAGTCATTTGATGCTTTCGCTCAATATAGTCATGTACAAAAAAAATGTTTTGTTTCGTTTCGATGGTTGCGTATTGAATGAGTTTCTTTGTGCAAAGTCAAGGCTACTACTCATCTCCATGGGCAACGTAACAAGCGGACCATCATATCAACACAGTTAAGGCAAAACAAAACATGAACTGATGCGTTTAATTTACGTTACCACAAAACAGTGTTTAGTAGGATTAAAATAATTCTACGCGTATTGGTAACGTGCTTGGCTAAATTTTGTGTATTTACTTCGCAAAAATATAAAAACTTCAATATCTAAATATGACGTTTTCTGAAGGCAAACCACCCAAAAGATGGTTTTTCAGAGGATCCAATGAGCTAGGCTATATAAAATTTTTTGCTGGACCTAAAAGAATATTAAGTAATCAGTCCTGGGTAGATGCAAGCGATGTTTCCTATTAATTTGCTGATATATTAGGGCATGACTGAGGCTCTCTTTGGGTCAGTCTGCGGACGTTGTTTTCGTCGCGCGTTTTTGGCCATCAAATCGTCGATTTTTCACAGCAAAAAATTGTCGCATATCAAGAAATGTTTTGCGGGCCCGGGATAATCCTGCCAGCGAGCCCAAGCAACCACGACGAGGACTTCGACGACGGAAATGAGAAAATATAAAAAAAGAACAGGTTTAATAAAAAAAAACAGAAACTCTGAAGCGGCAGCACACTTTTTGGCAGATTTCATTGCCGTCAGCGCAGGATTAACGTTGTCAAACTCAAATTGATCGGAATCGCAATGAGATCGTCGCTTTACTCTAAAACTTAATCGTCGTTTCATCAATAGCGATCGTCGCGACTTAGATTTCATCGTTGGAAATACCCGAAAAGAGTCTTACGATTTAGAACCAGCACTGCATGCGACTCAAAACAACTCTTAGCTTTCTGACAATGGAATAATTTTATTGCTAAAACTGATGTAGTTACAATCTTCCTTGTTTCTTTCATTTAAATCTATCTCTTAGCCTTTTTTTACAATAAATAAGCATATAAATATTTTTTCTCCAATATATAATTAGAATTTTTGTCATAGAAATACTGTACAAATTATTAGATTTTTTCAGCTAAATTTGGTCTTATTATCTCATCTGTTAATTCTTCTTGGTAACATTGTTTTTTAAGGTAGTCATAAGTCATCGGTTCTTTGCTACTGTTCTATTTTCTAGCTATTTGTTCAAGTTCATGATAGTTTCCTACTTATTTTTGACAGTGTTTTGGAGACTTCGATGGCCATTACTTATGCTTTTCGCTGTCAATAAACTCGCCGACTTCCCTTAGTTCTTTTGCTTGGTATCTCCTTTTGCTGTGTTCGTATCGCAATCGCGAGAATGTGTATGACCTCTTCTATCTACAGTGGTTGTTGCTTTTCGTTTTTCGTGCGGCCAGTCGTTTGGTTGGCAATTTCCTTGACACTGTTCGTTTATTGCGTGAAGCAGAACCGTCACTGAATAGTTCATCAGAGAATGTAACGTTCCCACCGAACGACATGGACATGAGTATAGAATTCATCAAGTCTAGTTGTGTGTGAAGCTTTCTTCGCTTGATGGCATATTCGTCGCACTGTGTCGGTTCCTCCTTCATTCGTTTGAAATGACTTCCGTGGCAACTTGTGTTGAAGACATCGTTTTCGTCGCATTGGCCGTCGTCGTCCGATGAGGAATCGATACTTGCAAGAACGAGGTAATCTTTGTCGAGTTCGAGGTTTTGGTTCTTCACTAATTCACCTTCCAACTGCACCATGGCGTTAAGTATCTGAGTAAGTAACACAGCCAGTGTTTCAACTAATCCCAACTCTTATCTCGCTTGCCAAATGAACTAGATATGACCAAGTAGGTGAATAACCGCGTGATTAATTGACTGTGACGTACAGGCGGCACGCGATCACAAGGTTTGTTGTTCTCTTGGTTGTTAGAAACTACGTATGCAAATCGTAAATATTTGACTCGGTTTCCATCACAACGAAGAAGCAGCACAGGAAAACCAAGCATTTTTGTCATTTAATTTCAGGAAATGGTCGCTTGAAATATAAATTTTTGGAAGGAAGACAACATGTTCCAAGGAAATGGAAAGATAAAAATTTTAATCGATTATATTGTTTCGTTTTTTAATTTGTTTGATGCAAGGTGGTCCGGTAACTATCAACATATGCAAAAAATACATGATACAAGGAACTAATCTACAATTATAATCAGTAGAAATAAGCTGAAATTGGTTTTCGAACTTGCTTGAATATAGACAATATAGCATGTGTTAAAATAGGATTAAGGAGGGCAAGACCGAAAAAAGAAAAATCTTCAAACTGTTATTTCAACGTGGTTGTCAACTGCAATAGTAAAGATAAACTCAGTCTGAGTCCAATTTAGAGTTACTTTCAACTTACGGAAGTTCGTTTACTTTTAAAAATATTATTCTCGTCACCTGTTTTCGTTTAAATTTGCTGTCACATGTCTTGTAAGGCCAATACCCAATTGAGCTTAAAGCAAGTTAATACAGAAGATAAGATCAATTTTTATTGTTTGCAACATGAAACTTCTGGTTTGCAAGGTTTAAATTNTTTTGGAGACTTCGATGGCCATTACTTATGCTTTTCGCTGTCAATAAACTCGCCGACTTCCCTTAGTTCTTTTGCTTGGTATCTCCTTTTGCTGTGTTCGTATCGCAATCGCGAGAATGTGTATGACCTCTTCTATCTACAGTGGTTGTTGCTTTTCGTTTTTCGTGCGGCCAGTCGTTTGGTTGGCAATTTCCTTGACACTGTTCGTTTATTGCGTGAAGCAGAACCGTCACTGAATAGTTCATCAGAGAATGTAACGTTCCCACCGAACGACATGGACATGAGTATAGAATTCATCAAGTCTAGTTGTGTGTGAAGCTTTCTTCGCTTGATGGCATATTCGTCGCACTGTGTCGGTTCCTCCTTCATTCGTTTGAAATGACTTCCGTGGCAACTTGTGTTGAAGACATCGTTTTCGTCGCATTGGCCGTCGTCGTCCGATGAGGAATCGATACTTGCAAGAACGAGGTAATCTTTGTCGAGTTCGAGGTTTTGGTTCTTCACTAATTCACCTTCCAACTGCACCATGGCGTTAAGTATCTGAGTAAGTAACACAGCCAGTGTTTCAACTAATCCCAACTCTTATCTCGCTTGCCAAATGAACTAGATATGACCAAGTAGGTGAATAACCGCGTGATTAATTGACTGTGACGTACAGGCGGCACGCGATCACAAGGTTTGTTGTTCTCTTGGTTGTTAGAAACTACGTATGCAAATCGTAAATATTTGACTCGGTTTCCATCACAACGAAGAAGCAGCACAGGAAAACCAAGCATTTTTGTCATTTAATTTCAGGAAATGGTCGCTTGAAATATAAATTTTTGGAAGGAAGACAACATGTTCCAAGGAAATGGAAAGATAAAAATTTTAATCGATTATATTGTTTCGTTTTTTAATTTGTTTGATGCAAGGTGGTCCGGTAACTATCAACATATGCAAAAAATACATGATACAAGGAACTAATCTACAATTATAATCAGTAGAAATAAGCTGAAATTGGTTTTCGAACTTGCTTGAATATAGACAATATAGCATGTGTTAAAATAGGATTAAGGAGGGCAAGACCGAAAAAAGAAAAATCTTCAAACTGTTATTTCAACGTGGTTGTCAACTGCAATAGTAAAGATAAACTCAGTCTGAGTCCAATTTAGAGTTACTTTCAACTTACGGAAGTTCGTTTACTTTTAAAAATATTATTCTCGTCACCTGTTTTCGTTTAAATTTGCTGTCACATGTCTTGTAAGGCCAATACCCAATTGAGCTTAAAGCAAGTTAATACAGAAGATAAGATCAATTTTTATTGTTTGCAACATGAAACTTCTGGTTTGCAAGGTTTAAATTTGACTACTAAGAGAATACAGTTGAACCTGTCTACAGCTGCCACCTTGGGAACAGAAGAAAATGACCGTTGTAGAGTGGTTGAAACAAGAGTGAATGTGTAGACTGTCCGTCAAGAGCATTTACTGGTTCTCAATATCGCGTTCATGGTCCAATCTGGAGGCTCCTACTGTCAAGGTTAAAAGAATCCTAAAACAACCGTATGAACACAAACAAACCTAAACAGAAAACAAGACTGACAACAGCTGCAACGAAAACAGAAGAAGCCTAGAGCCGGAAATGAAACTAAACAATCCCGTAGGCAAAAAATGCGCCCTTCCCCAACCCAGGCCAAGCAAAATGGAAACTACTTATAATTGATGTTTATTTCATTGTTTTATTTCGGGTCCTGAACATCTACAGAAATATGGGATTTCTTTCTAACACTTAAAGAGTAACAAACGCCGTTCCTCTTTGTGCTTTTTCCGCGGAAGTTCATCTAGCAAATGTTGAAGAATGGATTGGAATCTAAGTAGACGTGCATCAAGGACAGATAACCAGTGTTCCAAAAACAATCGGGTACAGTGGCGTTCTTAAAAAGATACTGTAATTAAGAAATACAAAGAAAAATAAGGACAACACTCAGAGTATAGCTCATGAAAAGTTCTACTTTTCGGACGTTCAGTACTATAGAGATAGTCCTGTTTTAAGTGCGGACTCAAAGACTTTTTTCACTTTTATTTTAATGATTTACACCGTTTTTATTATCCAAAACCAACCAACCAAACACGCCCCTTATAAGGGGATCCACTGAAGGCAGCTCTGGGTTTTGGATTCTACGCAGTGAATTTCGTATTCCAGGTATTGGATTCTGGAGATTCTTTGTCAGTGGAACTTGCAATCTGGAATCCAATCGTTAACGGGGTTCCGGATTCCAAAGCTCAGGATTCCAGATTTTCCTAAATTCGGGCATCCGGATTCCCTTTCATGGGGCGAAAGATCATAATGATTTCCACTAAGTTTGGTGTCTTGGGGAATCAGTCTGACAATTTGAACAAAAGCCAATCCATTCGTTGCTGAGTAATAGTCCCGATTAAGAAGAAAAACTGATTAGGGCATGCTACTACAGTATCTACTAAGAACCCGAATCGGAGCTCACCTGTTTCCCATTTTGTGCCAGCCCTGTATTTTTCAGAGGCGATTGAAAGAATTCTAAGAGCAAAGGCTGGGAGTTTTGAAAGCTTATTTGGAGTGTTTTGTTCATATTTGTAAACCGGGTTAAGTTGAGGTCATTATTTGTTGTTATTTTCTTCTTTCATTGTTACTCAGCTGTGGACGTTTGTTTCAAATTCGTCAATTTTATATACCGAGGACTCGAGGTATTTGCCTAAGATCGGTCTTACACTTAGTTAAATTTTGTTTAACGTACCGGAAACGACTCTTTAGTAGGATGTACAAATCGTGGATTGTCAACTTTATAGGGAAGAACCCAGCCAAAACCGTTCAGCACGCCATTGGTGAACATTAGAAACACAGGGAAGACGGAGTCACAATCAGCAACGTTTGCCAGGTCATACCAGTACAATTTTCCTTTAAAAAGAAAAGCCAACAATTGATTTCAGTATGCACGTAAATGTGTTGCGCATGCTCCACTTGCAACAAAGAGAAATTGGGAAATAGCTGGCCAGTTTGCTCGTTTATTCCATATGAGCTCCCACTGATGAGACGTTGCTCTCTGTGTAATTGGGAATTACCACCAGCGATTCACCATATTCAAGAGCTGATGCCCTCTCGCTTTCTAAAGGCTGCTTAGTATTATGTTAAACTCAATAACTACCCAAAGCATTTGGGACATGAGAAGGAAACTTGGCCTATCGAGGTAAGTTTCGCAAAGATCTCTTGGAGTGTAACTCAGGAAAGGGGAAAAAATTGGCGAATAGTTGACTGGCGCGTCTCCAGTAACCATCCCTGAAACAACTGCGGGGCGCATTTCGGCTCGAGTTCCCTTAACGTATGTAAGATGAAGTGGATTAAAACGCAGATAGATCCGTGCAAGCTTACCCATTGACCAAAAGCATTCACCCTCTGTCCATGCGCTTTTAAATAGTCCATCTTCAAGCAAAGGCACATGGATGAACTCATACGGAGTTGAACTTTTCTGAATCAAAAGTCGGTCGCCGATATATTTGGCTTGCGAGGGTCTGTGGGAACAAATTAGACTTGGATCTTTGAAGTAAGCCGTTATTATGTAATTGCCATTCTCCTCTTTCCACGGTAAACCTTTTTTAACACCTGAAGCTGATTTCGCAATCTGTCGAAAGTAACACACATATCAACAAAATAATCTTTATATGGTATTAACGACTCTATAATAATTGTGTTATCTTTGCTGCTGTCAATCTGAATAAGCTCACTCAAATTAAATGATTATACACCAGTGAAATTAATTCAGGAAAAATTCACTTGGTATTACCATTCTGATAAGTTGCAAATTACCAACGGGAGCTTACCAATTGGTCCACGGACTGAATATCTAATCAGCAGTAATGAACTTTTTTGCGCAGTTTTTTGGTCGCCAGTTTTGGTCTCAAAATGTCCGGGGCTTAGAGCAGTGGAAAAACGTTTGGGTGAGTCAGGTAAAGACAAGAGAAGAGACCTCTCCCCCCCTCCCCTCCTCTTACCTTGACTTTCTACAGTCAGCCCAGTTCTGCGTTAACTGGCCTTCGAACAGATGGGCCTAGGAGTACAGGATAGTCCTAGCATGGTGTTGACGAGCCTACGAGCTCTGATGTTGTTATTAAAAGCCGCGGTGAGTGTGTGTATCTTCAAATAAAAAAGTAGCCTGTTAAACGGCAGATATTTCGCGGCGCCGGCCACCACTGGTTTAAACGCGGGATGACGTCTGAGGAACGAGCGCTGAACGCGTCATTACCCAGATGTAGGTAGTGCTTCTGATTTTTCGTGCCACCCTTTCAACCAATCAGAAGCACCACCCAGATCTAGGTAGTGACACGTCATCAGTTTGGAATTTCTGCGCTCGTTACTCAGACGTCATTTCGCGGGGAAAACCACGAGTAGCATCGCGAAATGTTGGCTGTTTTCTCAGGCTAATAAAACACGTTTAAAATGGAATACAGATGAAACGGAAATTACTTACTCCTGTTTGTATCCCTGCTATTTTATTGTTTTCATCAAATAGCAACATCACTGTAATGTTTCCGTCGCGAACGTAACGGTTACCGCGGTAATACGAGTTGTCTGAAAAAAGGGAAATCAAGGGTTTATTAATCCTGGAAGTGTGTATAAACATTTCCTACAAGCTTGTGTTTCCTCTGCTATAAATGAACCGTTACCTTGGCATTTGTCTTGTAAAGTCCATCCTTTATCAACAGCATCACGTACAGTCAGTGGAAGTTCTTCCCATTTCAACCATGTTACTAAATCAAGATAAAAACTTATCAGAGATTAAATAATAGCGCTAATGATCTCTTTCTTTGCGCGTACGTGGGAAATTTATAAATTTAATCCCCTGTTGACAGCGACAATCTTTGACTAAGTTAATGAAACCACCTTGACTTTTTGTGTTGCATTCCCTAGCCGAGGCAGAATCTATAACAGGAACTAAACACCAGTTTTTTGGTATTCGTCATATAGTTCATGGGGCACAATCCATTTCGGTAACCACAATTCAGGACAGAACTCCGAAACTTTCATGCAAGGAGGCGATCGGAAAACGGATTCTTTTTAATATTTCGATCGTACTCAAACTTTTTCGCTCAGACTTTAAATGGGGTGTAGGGACAGTTACACGGAACTGATTTATTCATGTTCGGACCAAAATTTTAGACTCTTACGGTACGGGAAACGGCCAACTTCCTATAAGACCTAATCAATCATTCAGGTTCGGAGCGAGATTTCCGTATAATTTTATTGAATAGAATTCAGCCATTATTATCAGTTAGACTCGTGTAAAGGTCATGGACATCCAGGGTTTACAGGCGTGGATTCACTCTGGTTTCTACCGTCAGATTTCTCATAACAAATACATTTTTAATAATAAAAAACACTTTCCCAGTTGAAATCTGGCCAATATCCTGTCTGAATGACTCGGAAACCCAGGAAAGGGGACTTTAGGAGTTAAAAATCCCAAAACATTCCTGTGGGAGCCTGCCCCGGACCCCGTAGAAGCTTGCGCCTTCGCTCGTTTAGGAAATCAGTCAGTGTTTAAATCCTAACTCCGCCTCTGGTTTTTAAAGGGATGTAAGGTAGACAGGGGTTTTTAAAACCATTGATTAATTGATTATGCTGATAATGATTAAACAAAGAGGACGGAAATGACGGAAATGGAAATTTCCTCGCAATTACTTTTCTTTAAGTATCTATCAAGTGATTAATATACCTGACAGTTTATCCCATTCCGGAGCAACTGGATCTGAAATATCAGATTCAACAATTATTAATGATGTTATCAAAAGACTTCGCGTCCCTTTAAGATATTTTGTGGTATCACGCCCTTTAAGATACATAGCTCTCTTGATAATTTGCTTGCCCTTGGTTGTCTAAACTAATAAAGAGTACTAAATTCACTCATGGATAGTACCGACAACCAGAAACAGAACCAAATTGCTTTGTCGGATAGAAATGGGAAAAGACAATCAAATGGGCCAATCAGAGCAAGAGGGAAATACAGTTAGCCAATCAGAGAGCAGAGCTAGTGGCCTTACTTCTGAATGGCTGATAGGAAGCATGGGACTTTTAAGCCAATTGAGAAGCCAAACCGAAATAACTTTTGTTGGAAATTACTTAAATAGATACTAAAAAAATCATGTCATTGTGCTATATGTGCTATAGAGAACTATAAATATGAAGACAGGCACCCTGTGCCGTCGGCGTTGATTGACTTAAGATTAGAGGTCAGGATAACCCTCTAACCTTCACTAACGGCCACCTCTCTATAACGGCCACGTTTTTGGTAGACAGTACATACATTGACTCTTGTTTAAACCTCTCTTTACAACATCCACTTTCTCCTGTCCCCAAGGTGGTCGTTTTGGAGATATTCAACTGTATTGGAGAATTGGAGTCAAGAGAAGATGGAGAGTTCCTTGTAACCAATCCAAATCCTATGTAGTCTGAGATCGAAAACCGTTTTTTTTTCTATTCAAGTTAGGAACCAACCAATTTTGGATTGCGATCTGAAAATCCATGTACGCAACCTGGTTGATCGTTCACCTCGCCTACCCTGACTTTGGTTATAAGTGTTTGGGTCTTTCGGATCTATACCAAATACCGCAGAATCATGTGGAGGGAGGAGGAGGAAGGAAGTCTTCCACAGTCGAAACTGGGATAATGTTGGGTTTCTGTAATACTGTAACACTGGATTGCTTCAGTATTACAAACACTGCCTTTGTAAAAGGAAAATAGTTAATAATAATAATAATGATAATGATAAAACTTGATGAGTAGGTGCAAGACATTTCTGTGAGCTCTCAGCGATTAGGTGTCCCTCTAAGGAACTGAGGAATTGGCTGAATCTGTTGGAAAACATGTTTTGCGGTCTTCTCCATTAGTCTGTCATCAGTATTATCAACAACTGAAACAGCAACAGCATGCCATGTGAAGGCTTTTATTGAAGTTTACGACCTTTTCCTAATTACAGATTCTCCGGAAATCTGACCCAGCCTTTCATCCAAGAAAGCAGATTTGAATGAAATAGTGATATGTTACAATCGCGTACCAAGAAATTGCTATACCTCAACAACAAAATCAACAATCGACGGCACCATAAAATAAGTGAAGTTACGGAATTAAGTGTAACTGTAGTTTATTATTATTATTTTTATTTTATGAACATACGGGGTGTCATTTACTGAGAATTTTTTTTACAGTGATGGGAGATTTTGAGACGTCAATTTCTAAACAAAAGAATAGCAAAGAAACATTGAAACATTAACCAATTTTTAGTAAGCATTCCACTCTACAAAACGATCAATAATGGCTTCCCTAACAAGGTGATAGAAGCGATCTGCAACCTCTTATTTGTATACTGACAAACACAATCTTGTTAACATCAAGCAATTCATCCTGTTATCGACTTTCTTCATACATTGTTCCTCATGGTCTTACAATTATATTTTTTATCTTTGTTTCTTTGATTCACTTTGAAACAGTGCCAATCCCTCCTTAAATCACTAAATCACTTGAGTCCAAATCTACTTAAGACAAATCCAAGTGGAAAGGAATGCACCAGAACATTTCTTTGGGGTTGTTTAATTTACATTGGTGGAAAGAAACACTCCAGTCTCAAGAATAGACACTCATTTTTTCACTGCGGACTTGCTCTTGTCTGGTGCTTAACTCGCCACGTTGATAATGACTACGATAAACGTTTGTGTCTTTAAGAATCTTTGTTTATCGTTATTTTTTTAAAGGATAAAACCAAACAAGGCAAAGCTGCGTAAACATATCAACAGACCTACCTACCTGAATTTCTTGATCTATGCCAGTAGCTTTTTCCAGACACCACGATGAAACAAAGCAAACTGAGCAAGATCCAGGAAGACTTCATTTCGAAAAGAAACCGCAGAAGATTTTCGAGCAACTTAGCTTAAAGAAGCACTTATGTAAAAAACGCCCCTCTGCTATGGAAACAATTTGCAACTCTTTTAAATTCTCATCTGCAGGAACTCAGTAAATAGATATCCCGTGGTCTTTTTGGTGGCAATCAATGGAAAGCAATGAATGATGTGTGAAAAGCAGAATTCCGTTCCCTCTGAGATCCTCACTGTTAAGCAGGAAATTCAAAGAATGACCTTTATATTTATGAGTGTCTCTTTCTTAAGTCTCTTTCCTCTCTCNGTTTGATTGTCTCGGAAGTCTGTTAATAAGCTGTTGACTGGCCACAAGCTGTTAAAGTAGCTACTGTGGCAAATCCTTTCTATAATGCAAATGCAGTACGGATGTAATTGCTTTTGTATGGTAAATATGAGACTTGCTTTGCATGTCAGTTTCCTCTAGGAATAAAAAATAATTAATAAATTAATAAATAATTTGATTTTATATAATGTATTATATGATCAATACATTATTCCTTTTTAGTGGTGATCTTTTTTCTGATTATTAGCGCATATTGAGCGGACCGTGCTGACTCAGACGAAGCGAAGGTCAAGGCACGCAAAAATTGGCGGTCGGAGCGGGGGTGGGAGGAGAGGAAATGGTCCTCTCCCTAGTTTTCTCCTGTTTTATTTTCGTGTTCGCGCTTTCCCCTTCCTCAATTCAGCGGACCCGACTATCTCAGCCTGGAACAGGCTAACTCAGACGTGATGGATGATATAATTAGTGAAAAGGTGAATGAGGTGCTGAAGAATTACACGCTGTTATATTTGAAAATAAAAGTCAAATTATGCCATTCTCCCTCGGGCTTAATGGTACTGAGAAACTTCCAACCCCGAAACAGATGAAAACGATTTCAAAGCGGAGCCCGGCGGGAGTTTGGTCGGTCAATTTTTTGCTGGGCATGTACCCCTTGCCTCTGTTGTATGGCCAATTATAGGCACCATCTTAGACATCGTAGTCACTTTGGGGCAAATGTAATTTTCGCGATACCAACTTAGTCAGTTTCTGTTTATGTATCCACCTTATAAAGGCGTGACACTTTTCCTACTTACCAGAATTTTCTTACTCTTAAAATCCGACCCTATTCTAGTAATTTAATTCTATTGGAAATGCAACTCAATCCAGCCGTAAAAATGCGACCCCATCCAGTGGTACATCCCATTAGCGCTGTTCTTAATGAGCGCTCCTATTTACAAGGAAGTACAACCGCCCGGGAAGCCGAGTTGTTTGAAACCACACCAAGCGCATCAATACAAATTGTCCATGAGGTACTATAAAACCCTGCGATTTCTTCACAGGCAATGGTTGGAATAAGGTTGTAATACCCCATCAAGACCTTAGCCTTCTTTACTCCAGTTTCCCGCAGCTTCGCACAATCAGAGCGAGCAGAGGAAACCACAAGGACCTGGGTACAAACCACAAATTCAAAATGGCGGGCGAAGGTATTTTCCAAGGCATGGCTGGTTTTCTCAATGTTTTCTGCTGTATGTCAAAGGTATGTAGAGTATGTATGTATATAAAAAATGAATCTCATACCCTAAAGCGTATCGTGATGTGATTTTCGCGATGTTCTTATACGTAAAGTGCGTCAAACGTAAATCACTTGTTCTGCATAGTGAAGAACAAAGTGCAGACTATGGAAAAATCAATACGTTTTAAGAATACTAACGATTCTAAATTTGATGTGAATTTATAACACTTACGAGTAATGTTAGGGTATAGTTTAAAATCTATTTTGTCTTTTCTCTACAACAAATGGCTCGTACCACACATCCTACTGTTTATTCCTCACCTCCCCCCTACGCCCCTCCCCTCCAAGGGACATTAAATTTCTTTTATCAGCTATT